GCAGAGCACTTGAAAAGGTATTACCAATGACACCTTGAGAGCATCAAAGCAGTAGAAGTTGGGACTTGATTTGATTTTTAGGGGTGTTACCCAAGATTTCAATGTATTTTTTTTTTGGGAATTATTACCCAATATCGCTTTTTATAAGCAATAAATTAATAAAATTTTCTATGTCATTTACTCCAAAAAGATTTTCTGTATTTCATTTCAAAGGAGTATCGGTACAAAAATAAGGCCAGATACCGCCTTTTCAAAAAAAAAAAAAAAATCAAAAGTCCTAAACACTCTAACTGCTCTCATGGTCGTCCCCCACCTCCTCCTCATTGTCATCAACAGCATCAGATCCCCCCTCATCACTGTCGTCAGTGGGCACGAAAGGTGAGAAGTCAATATTAGGGAAAGCGGTAGAAACTTTCCCTCGGAGATCCTCGAAACCATCAATAAAAGCATCTGCAAGACCATTCTCCAAGTCTTCCTCAGCACGGGAAACTCTCTCCCGAGCAGCCGTCAACTTTGCCTCTGCAACAGCTGCCTCTCTGAGCATGGCCCTCCCATGGGCCTCTACAAGCTCAGCCTCTCTGAGCGTGCTCCTCTCGCGGACTGCCAAAAGCTCAGCCTCTAGCTTAGTGGCCCTCTCATGGGCTGCAACAAGCTCACCATCCCTGAGCGCGCTCCTCTCGTGGACTGCCAAAAGCTCAGCCTCTAGCTTAGTGGCCCTCTCATGGGCTGCAGCAAGCTCACCATCCCTGAGCGCGTCCCTCTCGCGGGCCGCCAGAAGCTCGGACTCAAAATTAGAAAACTTTTCATGTGCTGCCACAAGTTCACCCTCCCGGAGCACGTCCCTCTCACGGGTCACCAAAAGCTCAGAATCAAGCTCGACAATCCTCTCCTGAGCAGTAATAAGCTCCCTCTGCACAAGGCTAAGATCCAGCTTCAGCTTGTCTTGATTATAGGCCCTCGAAAGCAAGCAGATGGAGGAAGTCGAAACCTAAAAAAAAAAAAAAAGAGTCAAAAACACAGGAAACGACTGGAGAAAGGGAAATAGCAGACCCTTACCTGAGCCAGACCTTCCAAATACGTGTTGACGATATTATCAGTGCCCGAAGCGCTAAGCTCAGAAACTTCTGGCCCAAACACAAACCTCCCAAGCCTTGCCCTGATAGCTGCTGGTCTCCCCATCATAGAACCAGCCCAAATCGGCACTTGGGTAGAAGTTCCTGAACAAGGAGGAGACAAAGGAGGGGTAGCACGAGGAGAGGATAAAGGTGGAACAGATGTGCCTGGCAAGGAAGATTCTGGAGCAGCAGTTGGAGAAGTTGCCAGTTGAGAAGGAGCCACCGTGGAAGCCACATGGGGGGCATCATCCGTCCTTGTCACTTTGGAAGAAGGAGGGCTCCTGCTAGAAAAATGGGACACCACCACCCTCTTACTTGCTGCAAGAGTAGAGAAGGGTTAGAAAAAAAAAAAAGGAGAGGAAACTAGCTCACCCTTTTTCTTCGAAGAGGAGCTGCCAGATTTCTGAGATGGAGCTACAGCTCTAGTATACTTGGGCAGGAGAACTCCCAAATCTTTACAAGGGCAAGCTTTGACAGCCTCCAATTTCCACTCCTGGTCCCGGGAAAGCACAGGTATATCTGCATGAAAAAGTGAGCACACACACAAAAAAAAAAAAGGAAAAAGAAGAAGTGTGCAGCATACCGGGTTTTTTAGCAGCACCCCAATGTGTTGGCACCAAAACTCTGTCGGCTTCTGAAGCCCATTCTCCACCAATAAAGAAGAAACAAGATTTCCAGCCGCCGCAATTAGAGCGCATTCCTGTAAGCACTGTACCACTCCGTGCGGTAAAATAGTACCATCCCCTATTTGGTGTAGGGGTTTCGCTCAAATTATATGCTGCATGAAACTCCATAGGGGAAGCATCCTCGTGGTGCACCTTTCTCCATAATGCAAGAAAACCGAGCAGGACTCTCCAACCGTTGGGCGCTAGTCGCCCCGGAGTCAAGGAAAAGTAATGCAAAACACGACAAATGGGGGAGGACATGGGAAATCTTAACCCAGCCTCAAGCATCTCCTCGTAGACAACAATATCCCCGGAAGAGTCATCGCAAGCAAACTCGCCCAACTCAGCCCGACGGCACAACACGGTCGGAGGAATGCGATAAGTAAAAACAAGCCTTGAAATATCTTCATCTAAGCGGAACAAACTAGAAAGGGTGCTCACCTTAGACCCGTCATCATCAAGTCTCACTTTGCTCTTGCGTTTCTTCTTCCGGGGCCTTAAGGAGTAGTCCAAATCACCATTGGGAGAGTCTTGAGGAACTTGAATCGGGGGAGCTACAATAGGGGCTTGATCATCAAGGGCAGCACCCAAAGCTTCCTTACTACTTGCAATGTCTAGCCCAACGCCTGAAAGTGTGCCTGACTGCTGTTGCTCGTCAAAACAAAGTTGCCCAGTAGCTTGAAGGGTGCCTGGCCCTTCAAAATTGCACAAAGCAGAATTTTTGGCGCAAAAATCAGCACCTAAGGCGCCCAAATCAGCGCCTCGAGTGGGAATCGGATCAGCCCGTGCTCCTAGGCCACTGCCTAGCTCTCCCTGATGAACCTTGGACTGATTTTCAGCGCCCCTTGATGGAAAAATGCTGCTGCCCAGCGTTCCAAAGACGCCCAGTGCAGCAGATCTGAAGTTGTCCGGGACAGCAGAAGCAACAGCTAGGCTGCTGCCCAGCGCACCTGGGCTGTCCAGGACAGCAAGGCCAGCGCCCAGGCAGCTGCCCAGCGCGCCTGGGCTGTCTAGGACAGGAGGAGCAGAGCCTAGGCAGCCGCCCAGGCCCCCACCGCGCGCCCAGCCGTCTCCCTTCGTTGCCCAAGCCACTCCTTGCGCTGCCCATCTCCCCTTCGCTGTCCAGCCCTTCATTTTCAGCCCCAAAGCTGTCCAAGACAGCATTCGAATGCTCAAAACTAGCCTCCAAGTTCTCCAAAATGGTGCCTACTTCCTCCCTTTCTTCAACCTCCACCCCTCCCTCTTCAATCGACATTGTTCACTTGAGAAGCTCAACTAGCAAGGAAGAAATCACACTCTTGAAAGGATTCAAGGAGAACACATTTTGGCTTCAACAAAATGGGTAGGACTTGAGTTCTCAAGGTTTTCAAGAGGTGGGTGCTCAACCTTAAAAATGAGTGAAATGGGTAACATGAAGAAGAAGACTATATTTATAGTCTAGGGTTTTTCAAAAAGAGGAAAAAAGCCCAAATAGAATATTATGGGCCCTCTTCAAAATAAAGTGGCCAAATAGAAAATTATGGGCCCTCTTCAAAATAAAGTGGTCAAATAGAAAGTTATAAGTCCTTTTCAAAACAAAAAGGCTAAACAGAATATTATGGGCCTTCTTTAAAATAAAGTGGGAAAGACTTGAAATTTAAAAAAAAAGAAAAAAAATGTAATCAATGCCTCCTTCTCCAAGTCTCCTTGGACATGGGGCATTGGGGGGCAAATGATGGGTTAAGCCCAAATAGTCCAATTTATGTGTTAAAATCCAACCCCAGTTGAGGAGCCCAACCTAATTTTGATTCCACCAAGTCCAAGACAGTCCAAGACCAATTAGACTTTTTGCTTAGCACGTCACCAAGAGAAAAGCATGGGAAGCTTATCTGCACCACCAAAGGAAACGGTCCAAATCCACCAAGTCCAAGACAGTCTAAGACCGGTTAGACTTTTTGCTTAGCACGTCATCAAGAGGAGAGCATGGAAAGCTTATCTGCACCACCGAAGGAAACGGTCCAATCTTTGACCACGTTTCATGAAGAGTTCCCCAACCTCCTCCTTCCGTTGAGGATAAGTCGTGATCTCCACCAAGAATAATCTCTTAGCTGCGATAAAGAAGCCTTGAGGATAAGTCGTGATCTCCACCAAGAATAATCTCTTAGCTGCGATAAAGAAGTCTTGAGAATAAGTCGTGATCTCCACCAGAATGATCTCTTAGCTGCTATAAAATAGCTCCAATCTGGTAGAAGAGGGAGATGAATGTCACGCCCCACCAAGACTGACAGAGGACGAACCGACTACCAGAGATTACTACTTCTTTGATTCTCCATTCTCTCTCTCAAAGCTTGTATCTCTATTCTCCATACCTTTGAATCAATAAAATACTCGGCAACTGAAGTCATTAAAGAGTGGACGTAGGTCGAATTGACCGAACCACTATAAATTGTGTCTTCTTTAATTTTCTCATCGATTTCATTGCATTTATTACATACATTTGACAGGTGGTGTGCAAAATCATTTTTGTGCATCATCAACAGTTATAACAAGTGAACAAAGTTAAATAAGAAACAAGCAAAAATACAAAAATACAAAAATGGGGAAATAATTACTGATGAGAAAAGCAAAATAATGTACTTTAAAAGGTATTATCAAACCATACTTTAATTCTTCCTGGCCTATTACTTTGTATCAAAATACTATATGCTGATAAACAACATATTGGAGTTAGAGGTGACAATCAATCAAACTAATTGAGATCAACCACTAAAAAAATGCAACTCAAAGGTCGAATTCAAATCGATAATGATATGGGCGTCATCTCATTTACACTATCTGATGTGGTATGATCTTAATCATCAAATATTCAATGAATTCAATAAGATCAAATAATCTAATGATTTATATTAAGGCGGCGTAGAAAAGCGATATGTAGTATTGTTGAATTCAAATTGGCCAAACAAAGCCTATATCGTCAGAATTTTGTGTCCCAATCCTAAACCCCCGCCCATTGGTCACTTTTTTAATTTTTTTTTTTTTTTTATGGTTGTATAAGTTTCCGAAGCTTTATTAATAACAATTCTCAAGAAATAGTCTATTGTTTATAACTCCGGGTCAGGAAATGGGCCAAAAAAATAAGTAGGCCCTAATCCAAACTAGTGTAGGGGAATTATTTGGCCCAGCTCTTTAGAAGCCCCATTAAAAGAGTAGAAACCCTAGCCTAACCAGTCTTCTCCACCGAGCGAGAGCGAGAGAGAGAGAGAGAGAGAGCAGCCATGAAGTACAACCCGCGCGTCTCCAGCTCTCGCCGCAAGAACCGCAAGGCGCACTTCACAGCGCCGTCTAGCGTGCGCCGCGTGCTTATGAGCGCACCGCTCTCTGGCGACCTCCGGACCAAGTACAACGTCCGGTCGATGCCGGTGCGCAAGGATGACGAAGTTCAGGTGGTACGTGGGACCTACAAGGGCCGTGAAGGTAAGGTCGTTCAGGTCTACCGTCGCAAGTGGGTCATCCACATCGAGCGCATCACTCGTGAGAAGGTGAATGGCACCACCGTCAACGTCGGCATCAACCCCTCAAAGGTGGTGATAACCAAGCTCAGGCTCGACAAGGATCGCAAGTCTCTGCTGGATCGCAAGGCTAAGGGACGTGGCGCTGCTGATAAGGATAAGGGGACTAAGTTCACTGCTGAGGACATCATGCAGAACGTCGATTGATTGATACATTCATCCATCCGTCGGTTTAATGGTATATCATTGTTGCTTTGAATTTGGTTTTGTTAGAAGTCTATAGATTTTATTGCTGTTAAGGTAAGGAGAGTTCATGATTTGGACCTTGGAATTGGGATTTCATGAGACTTGGATGTGCTTAACTTTGTTATGGATGGTAATTTTGTTTAACTTAGTACGTGCTTTATAATTCATTTGTTATTGCTGGCTGTGCCTATTATGTGTTATTTCGGTTGATTTCGTGGTATTGATAGTACTTCTGTGCTAAATCTGCTGTTGAAAATTGTGGGGAAATTAGTTATTTGATATTAAGTATAGATTTTATCGTTTAATAAAACAGAGGAATGCTAGTGGATTACCAATAATCATTTCATTTCTGGCATAGTCTTTTAAGATTGGATGGAACTCCTTATTCCTCTCCACCATCAATTAACTGATCAATGTGTTGAAACACTTGTTCAGCATCCTTAGTTTAGTGCATTGACGGTTCATTGAGCCAGACTTGATGATTATTTGGATGTTTTCGGTCTCCCTCATGAGAAACTTCTGGGGCATTCTATGATACCTGTTTATGGTTGGGTCCATCATGTGGTTTCAGTTCCAGCTTATGCGAATTTATTTCCTACATTTCTTATTCGTTTCCTTTAGTTTTTTTGTTGTTCATTACGATGATTGCACTCTCACAATTGTATTTCTTTGCTTCTTATGTTTGTGAAATTCGTAAAAGTAACTCAGTATAGGATTTTAGCCTTAAGGCAATATCCTTACCTTATTCGATGCGGTTATTGAGATGCAGCTTCTTGACTTCCAATTGATTCCTCTTAGGATAGCTATGCCTTGTGTTTACTTTTTTCCTTGTCTTGATGGCATGTTTCATCATGATGCTATAGTTACGGCCTACAGTGTTCAACATGTTCTTTCTTCATCATGGTGCTATACAAATTTGGTTCCATGCTAGACTTTCATGCTATTGTTGATGGCTTTTGCCTATCATCTCTCAACAGCTTTGTTGTTTTTTAAGGAGTGATATGTTGACCTCTTGATGTTGGATCCCTTGATGCCCCTCCTTTCCCTTCTCTCTTCCCCAACCAAGAAGGAGAAACTTCTTCCTTACATAATTATTGGATTTTGCCTCATCAGTTGGGAATTCTGTCACTCAAGTGGGTAACATGGTTTGGATTAAGATGATGCATTATGTTTTGTAGCACTGTTGTGCCCAACTGTCCGATGTTTTGGTCTTCTCTTGACTACTGTTCTCTATCTGTTACTTTTGTTAGGATGTTGGATTCCCCCATCGGTTGTTTGGTCCTTCACTCATCTCACAATTTCATGGAACTAATTGCCATTGGAGCTTATTTAGCGTTCTTGTTTTTTCGGAGGACACAACTGAGTCCCTCGTGCTTTGCAATTCATTTCCAAATTGGTCTTTTTTCATCGTGAATACACCACAGCTTGAGATTTTTTTACCTCAGACAAGTATCCAACTTAAACAAGTAGAAGTCTGATAGAGTTTGCTGTTCGTAGCCCTGTGTAGTGAGTGTACAAGTTCTTGTGTTCTTGTACCTGGGACCTCCTATTTCGAAGAGAAAAATCTCTTTTTCCTATTTCATTAACTTTCTTTTTTTTTTCTTTTTGAAGATTTTTGCTGCCTAATCCCTCTTTTAATTTGATGGTTGGTCCCGGAAATGCTCATATCGTAATCGGGTGTTGATACTCTCTCTCTCTCTCTCTCTCTCTCTCTCTCCCCCCTTCCTTCTGTCAGTTGATTATTAATAGCAGTCTCCTTTCTTCTAGAGCACATGTTGTCCAACTTCTATTTGCCATGCTTGATGCGGGATGGATCACTCCCAGCAGGTTTGCAAGCTCGTGATAGTAAGGTAGTGATACGACCTTGTCACCCGCTGCTTGAATTGCTGCCACCCCTTACACTTGTTGGAGTCTTAATCTTGTGTATACCCACAGCCTTGTTTTGCAGAATCACATGAAACAATTTTGCTCGGCTTCTCTGGTATCTGTGTAAATGCACATACATCAACAGAAGGGATTACAAGCCCACGTCCATAAGGTCACTGGTCAGGTCAATGAGGATTGGTTGGATCGTGGATGGCCAATCGTTATCATGCCCTACCCCAACCATCTCGAAACTAACCTTTGTTGAACGTACTAGACTTTTCAAATTGTACGAGGGATTTTCTGTGTTTTGGTTAATTTGGCCGCTTTTGTAGTTGCACACAGCTGCCTATAGAGGCACTGCAATATTTTAGTTGGGATTGTTTGGCGTGTATGAATGAGATTGTTTTCAGAGCAGAAGATCCTTCGGCAATGTCTTTAAAAAAGAAAAGAAAAAATAGCCAGGTATTCCATAGGCGTTGTAGAGGTGTCTCTCCCAAAACATTAGTCCAAACACATGCAGTAATAAGGTATTCAAATTAATATTACCCTTATGTATTATTATTTGGTGTTATCAGAAACTTCAATTCCTTTAGTTGGAAGTTACAAAAGCGAAACAAAATGCTTAATGTCGAATTTCTGTGAGTGTAAAATAATAATGATCAAAAAAACAAAACTACACCAATAATTAACGTGTCGTGTGATGTGACATGTTTAAATTAACACAACCGGTGTTACATATTTGGAGAAGATTTTTTTTTTTTTTTTTGTTGATGTTTTAGACATACCAAATACCAAATATCACATCGTTGTTGATTCTTTCCGTTTGGCGAAGAAACAGTCAGTTTAGACTGCCACACAAATCAAAACCAAATATTTGCAGGATCCATTCAAACAGCCTCATCTGAATCGCTTGCGATTATCAAAAGAAAGTAATAAGCAATTAACAAGTTTTGTATGAATCCCAGCTAAGAGGTCCATGAAAAGAAATGTGCATATCCCAAAAATGACTTGGAAAATGGAAAGAATGAAACTAAAAGACCAAGAAATACGTCATGTTATAACCAAGTATCACAGCAAACCATCCCTAGTCGATCAAAACCCAAACAACAAATGCTTTAACAATGTACCCCCCAATAAAAAATAAGAAAAAGAATTTGCTTTAACTATGTATCATCAACAGGCAAAAATACCTCAAGGCTTGAGAGCAAGGGCAACACCAAACCGGGGAGTCTTTTCCAAGGCGGCCTTGGTGTCAAACTCACTAGAGATCGTCAGAAGCGATTTTGGAATAAGCTCATGCTGAAAAAGAGCCCCTAGCTTCCCATGATTGTTGAGCTTTGCTTTCACCAGTGTCAGGTTATCAACTGCATAGGACCCTCCAACAGTAAATGTATTCTCATTTGTAGAGAACTTTCTAGTGATCTCTCCAACAGCAGCACTCTTCTTTAATTGATCCAGATGGTGTACATATGACGCCCTTATTGTGTCTCCTTTGTCGCCTCTGAGAGGACAGAGTAAACACAACTATATAATAGAATCAATAAAATTCTTTTCCTATCTGATATGAAATAAGGATTGGTACACTGTTACAGCTATCATCCTTTATAACCTGACCAGGAACTTACAAAATTATGGAAGCACATGAATCTGGTTTTGTCACACTGACGCCGGCAGTGTACTTCACCAATGTACCAGAGGTGGTCTCATAACCTGCCTCTGCACCAATAGCAAAGGTTGGCGTACCAATGGTGGCAGAAAGATCAATTGCAGGGGATTGGTTCAGACCCAAGGCAGAAGTGATGGTTCCATGATGATGGAAGTACTGAACCTCCAGCTGCATCAGAAAATACAAATGCAAGTTTCAAATGATAAAGCTAAGACTTTGTCGCTGATGTGTTAAGCTTAGCAGCTTAAAAATTCATACCTTGCCAGAATTGTAATCAGGAAATTTTAGTGAAACAGTAGTCTTCGTCGAGGGAATGAGATCAGTGTAACTTAAAGTAGTTGAGATCTGCCAAAACAGTGGGATAAGACAAAATGCCTATAGTGGAAACAAGCACAATTCAGTTTGAATTTTGAAGACCAAGGTAGCGAGCAACCCACATTTGATTCAGTATCAACTTTAACATCGATAAAAGTACTTTTGTATTTGTACTGTGCTGCCACCTCTCCACTTGAAAGCCCTCCTTTCTTCACTGCATTTGATGTAAGGGCCTAAATCAAGAAAAAGGGGAAAGGATAAGCTGAAATTGGAGTTGTTGATGTGTTTATAGATATAACTTGTAAAAACAGAATATAAGGAAAACAAGAGCAACATGTAACCATCAAATGATGAATGAAGAAAATGAGCAGAAACTGAAAGTCAAATTATTTTTGGTTGTTCACAACAGCATGAACTACATTCAAAAAAGGACAGGGGCGACTAGTAAACAAAAAAGTGAGTCCTAAACTGAAAGAGATAAGGATTAGCATAAAGAATAAAAACCAAATGATTGGCATAGTTAACTAAACACATTTGAATGAGATGAGATCATTTACCAAGGGCTAACTGGTGTATTAATGCACCACTTGTTACAATTTAACTTCAGGATATCTTCACAAATGTTTCATTCCCACTCAAAACATCTTCAACTTTATAAAACTAATTAAATGAGAACAAAAACCAAGCAATAGTACACAATTGTCTCCCCTCTGATGCAGACATCCAAAACAACTCAGGAAAGTAGCTCAGCAGACCTTTAGCGATGTATCATTCTTTTCTGAAAACTTCTAGAATGGTATATTATGCTGAAGGAACATATCATAACAAACGGCACAATGATTAATACCAAACAAAAACGTGCTCCCTCCCACCCACCCAAAAGCCATTGCCTTTCTTTGTGGATAGCAAACAGCTTCATCACTTGTGACAATAATAGCAACAAGTATTACCTCATTTCACCTCTCCCCTTGAGGTAGCAAATAATAACCTTATCACCCAAAAGCCATTGCCTTTCTTGGTGGACCATAAAATAGATAAAATCTGCCCAAACCATTACCACTAGGATTTTCTGAAATGTCATCATCACATCAACTTATTCATTCATTTTCCTTGTTCATCTTCACAACATGCAGTAAAACAATTGATTCTTTAAATGTTTCTACTTCATAACTTACTTCCAATCAACATTTCATGGACTTGAGGTCCACAATAATAGTCCTACTTTGCCTGTCCCCTCCATTTAGGTCATAGATTAGGTAATCATAGGCGATGTTGTCACTACCTCAGCCATATCCTTTTTAGCTTAAGCAATTCTGTTGTTTTTTTTGCTTTCTCTGTCCCACTTCAATGACATCATAAAAACTACTTAAACTTGACTTTGCTAAACAAGCGAAAAAAATCCTTTCTATCTTTTTAGTCAAGCGCACTAGCTGCAATCAAACTAAAGTGCACACTAGAAAGTGCTTCAAGGTGCTGACTACCTTCTTACTGATAGCACAACTACGTTTTGGCACTCAATTAGTAGCGCTAGCACGTCACTCGGCTCCTCTGCTCACTTCAGTTGCAAAGACTTTCTCCTTAGGCGCATCTCTCAGATCCTCTTATTTATGTAGATCTTTCAACTCTGGCTTTATCATTCTACACTAGAGCATCCCTTAATTGCTTTAGTACCAAACTTGTTCTTGTCTTTGTTTTTTTAAATAGGAACTTGTTCTCATTTTTATGTTAGTTAGTAATAACTTCTTGTGTTTCCATTCCTCGTACTTCAACATTTATTTCTAGAAATCAAAGAATGAAATTTTAGAAAAGGTCTCCTAACACACTTCCTTCAGCTTGACTGGTGTAGAGCAACAAATCATGTCCCACAAAACGGGACTCTACTCATTCATCCCACTCCAATTCTAGGTCTAAACTTAATCTTGTAATAACTCGTGTCTGATCAACATCTAAAATTGCATTCCAATGAATCTCATAGCTTCAAAGTTCTTAAGTCACTGGTTACTTACTACCCAAACCCTTAATTTGCCAATAGTGGGTCAACAAATATTTTATGAATGACCATGAACTAGCGGTTCTTTCCTTTTTCTCATCTCCACTATAGGATAAGATATAATAGTATGGAATGCATTCTTAATTATTTAAGGTTACTTTACCTCTAGTTCCATATTAACTTCTTAATTAAGAGACCGTTGGTTTGGTTGGTTGGGAGTGGCCACTGGCATGCATTCGTGCCAATTGTTGTTATAATGAATTCTTCATCTTCAAAAATTCTTCTCAATGAACGATTTACTTATTTTTTTCTAGATATTTAAGAAAATATTTGCCACCTAGTTCTGCTTTTACATTGTTTCTCTCTCACCTTTACCACCTTTCTCTCTCTTAAAGGTCTCTCCATAGACGTACATGTCAAATATAAAAGAATGCATCCCTATTGGAAACAAAGCAAATGTGTCATATAAAAGTGTGAATAGAAAAAACAAAACTTTGCCTCCTAATTACGGCATACTACAAGAGTAAACCACCATGAATTCAGCGAAATTAAGCACAGAAACTACAATTAAACTGAATATATGAAATGCAATCCACTAGGAACAAATCCATAATTCATGAAATCTGAAACAGATGATCCAAACAAAGAATTCAAACAGTCAAATCACTATTACGACAAAATACAATTCAATCCACATATAATCAGTTCATACCACTCCTGTCTCACTGTAAGTCGAGACCGAAAATTTCTGATCGGAGATATAATCCTTTGTCAGCAAATCTAAATCGCAATAAAATGTAAATCAAAATAAGAAATATGAATGAATATATGAATAATGCAACATACACATTAAATATAATTGTCTACAAACATGATGCAATATAAAATCGAGAATTTGATTAATCGAATTGATTGTTTGCAAGTGAGATCATAGTTTACCTTTGGCTTTCTTGCCAATATCAGAGAAGAGTCCTGGTCCCTTGCTCATACTTGCAGAGAAATGTAGAAACAGAAACTATGTGAGACAGAGAAATCCACCTATGAATCGCTAGGAATTGTGACTGAGGATAGAGAAGAACAAGGATTTTTCTGAATTTCGTGGTCACCCCGAAAATGGGGGATGAAATGAATCGTAGAAGGCTTTGAACAGTTTCGGTCACAGACATAGTGCCCACCGTAAATTAAGAATCTTATCTATATTAAATTTTCAACCCCAAATTTATACTAAATTGAGCAATGTTCGATGTACAATTGATAAACGAGTCAAATTATTTAGGATCGACTCATATGAGCTCTAATAATTTTTTATGTTCATTCAAAAGGTTCGGCTCATTTATATGTAAAATAATTAAGTTATTCGTGTTCGATTCGTTTTTGAACTAGCCAAACTTTAATAATATTTTAGACTCATTTAAAAAAATAAACTCAACACGATTGGTTCGAGTTTGCAAAATTAGGCTCGATTATCAGCCCTAGGATTCAATTTAAAGACTTAATTTAATGCAGTCATTAGATTAGTTGATAGTTCTAATGTTAGATAGAGTTTTTTTTTAATCAAATAATTAAATTGAATTAGGTCCCAAATTAAATTATTTAATTATTTTCCTCCTCCAAACTTATGAAAGAAAAAAAATGTCCGACCACATTTATTTGAAGATTTGATATACTCTTGATTACACTTTCAATTAATTTTACGCTTCCCTCCTCTTTGAGACCGGTGTCTCTAGGGCCATGGTAATAGTGTCAAGGTGGTGGGGGCTGGACTATCCCATATCGGATAGTCTTTAAGTGTGTGAATAATATATAATGTCTTTACTCGCATTACTCTGTTAGAGTAAATGGTTAGTATTTGATCTAAAAAAAAAAAATACTCTTTATTACACTTTCAATTAATTTTATTCGACGGTAAACCACTACTTCTTAGTTTAAATGAGGTTATGAGAGACTACTCTCATTCTTAAATGTAATTAATTTTTCTTAAGTTCCATGTACAGTTTGATTAATTTTCTTTCTAATCTAGGCACTTCTTGCATGTGTTCAGATACATAGAGACTCATTTTCAACTTAGTTTTAATCAAGTATGTTTGATAAAACAAATCAAACTTTGAAAAATAAATTTAATAGATTTCGAAAAGAGTCTTTGATAATAAGTTCCAACGAATCACTTAACCCATATTTCCTTTAATTAAACTTTCCACAGCCAACCCCCCTTTAATTTTGGGCTCTTTTGCACCTCGAAAAGATATTTCGATTCTCAATTTACATTATTTAACATTAAAAATTTTAATTTTACTTTTAATGTTATAAATTGATAGTAAATATGGACCTCGTCCATATTACCGTTCAACTTTTCGTCTTCAATTGAATCACGCGAGATAAAAGTAATTTGGGCATGAGAATGCGGTATGTTTATTGTTGTAGATCTTTGTCTGCGATTAATTTGACACAGTTTTGTATATCAAAAATAAGGTTTCAATAATTAGATAAAAACTAATTCTATCATGTATAACTCACACGAGACGCCAACAGTTTTTGAATCTATACATAAGTCTATGCCCGAGACACTTGTAATTCACGTACTTTAATTTATGACCAAAAAAAAAATTGAACGACAATCTAAACGAGGTCTATATTACTATTAATTCATAACATTAAAGGTATAATTGAGAAATATTTGAAAGTGTAAATTAAAAATCAAAATATCTTTTGGGGTGCAAAATAAGAATAACCTTTTAATTCTAGATCTTGTCACTACGTGGACTTAATAAGGAAGGAAGGAGACTAATACTGCCTATGAAGCATGGATATTTCAAAAGGGTCAAAGTATCTGTATCGGATATTTTTGGATACGGATACGTGTCGGATACGTCTGAGAAATATCTTAAAATTAAAAAAAAAAAAATTAGTTGTCGGATACGGCTAGATACGTTTTGGATATGCGTGGGATACGCCTAGGATACGCATAAGGATACGACGGGATATTACTCAAATTTTAAAAAGGTATAGGGGCACAAGAGCAATATATTTAGGCCCTTATTTGCAAAAAAAAAAAAAAATTATTAAACTAAAAGTCTAAAAGACTAAAACTTGTACACTTTTCTTCCACAGCCCGTCAAGCACCCCATTCTCTTCAGTCGATACTCGACGACGACTGTCTCTCTCTCTCTCACTCACTCACTCACACTGACGATCGACTGACTCTGATGGTTAGTTATTATTATATATCTTTGATAGAAGTGTGATTTATTTTATAAATCATAATTATTACATTAAATATAATAATAAAATTTTAAAAAATATATATTTTATGGACGTATCCTAGCCGTACTCGTATCCTGTTTTTTTTAATTTTCCCGTATCTCCGTACCCGTATCGTATCGTATTTATATCTCATATTTGTATCCGTGCTTCATAGAATACTACCCACTATCGAATTCGAAATGGAACACCTTTTATGAAAGCAACAATCATTAGGAAACTTTTAGACATATTCACCTTCGATCTCGACATCTTGATATCAAACTAATAATCGTAAAAATATCTACCAAAGTTTAGTGGACTAGTTATGATTTAGTGGACGAGTTAAGTCGTAACAACATCTACAAATAATACCAATTTCTTCTTGATGAGGGATGAGCAAAAACTTTATTATTTAGGAAACTTTTGATAGACGATCGTGTTACGATGCATCACAAAATAAAAAATAACATGAACCACAAAAATAACTTAAATTGCTTACATCATATGATTAATATAATAATTTATATTTAATCATACTTATATTTTAACTAAAATAAAAAAATTTAGGATGGTAACTTTTGAAAGGAATACAATAAAATGGCTCAAACTAAAAACGAAATTTGCAAGTTAAGGTTCACTATTTTATGAACATGAATTAATAACTCAAACACGACTTGGCGTCTAAATCTTTTTTCGTACAACATTAAAAAAAATTAGTACAATATCTTAAAAGATTTTTTATTTATAATTTGAGTTATTTAAATTCGTTGAAATAAAAAGGTTAAGTAAAATTATTGATAACGGCATGATTTTGAAATGAATTGTCTATCTTAAACCCAAATCACTTATTGGGGCAAAAAAGGTGCACAACAGCCCAAGAAAACCCCTTAACAACTCATCTGCTCCGTAATAAGAAACAAGTCATAATCCAAAGGAGGAAGTCTAGCAGACAGTTCAGTTCGACATAACCCTATTCGATCATAACAAACTCAGCGTTAAGCAATTCGGGATCAAGGAGTTCGGTACTCATGAGACCCCAAAATGCTACTTCGCGCCACATGTCCCGGGACAACTTCTAAAGCTTCTAACAAACGTGTACTCTCTGACAAATGGAATATTTGTGCACGTAATCACCCAAGGATGGTGGATACAGTGGCATCAAATGAAAGAAATCACTAAAGGACAAAAGAAAAGGGGATCACAGAATCAACAAAAAGGGGAGTAAGCCGTAAGAAACCCTAAAAAGATTACCCGTATAAATAGAACACTTTCACGTTATAAAGAGGAGATTGACAATTTCTTCATTGATGTACTGTTAATACTGAAGCATTGTATAAACAGGCCTTAAGCTAAACAATCTATTTTAACCCTCTTCTTCAAGAAATATAAATCTCCAAAGAGTAAGAGATTTCATTACAGTAGATGTAGCCTTAGTTTCTCGGCTAATATGAAGCACTTAAATATTATTTCTGATTTATTCTCACAACTTAATCCATTGCCAATTCATATATTCACACCACCTCCTTTCCGGACCATAAATTATTAACATGCCCAAGTAGTGATTTTGGTATAGAGGTGGTTGGCATCAGCGAACTCATTGTTCGAGTCTCTAGACGAAGGTTAGACCAATCTTATTATTATGATTAGCGAAGTCCTTCCCAACTACGTCCAATGGTTTCACTCTTTTTTTTTTTCCCCTTCTGTCAATTCCCTAAGGTAGGGTTCAACCTCAGTCCCAAAGAACTACGATGGTGAATTCAAGTCAAGCAAAGGGTCTTCCAATGCTAATGAAGAAGGGTTTTGAAAAGCAGAACGTCCCAATTGAAATGAAAAAAAAAAGCAAGGAAGCCAGTGTCTATGATAAGAATATATTCGGTCGAGGAGCCCAGCATCCTTACCACACCGTGCAGTTTTTCGTCAACAGCAGAGGAGTTGTGCCCTGCATAATCATATGCCTTTTGAAAATCAATATTAAAAGCAATCCTTTCCTTATTCTCCTTTCTATATGGCTCAACCACTTCATTTGCTAACAAAACTATCCAAAAATTTCCAACTCTTCACACATGCATTCTGGTTTTTAGGAATCTCTCTCTCTCTCTCTCTCTCTCTCTCTCTCTCTCGGGCTATACAAACTGGTAACTAAACTGATCAACCTAAACTTATCAAACAAACCAAAGTTGTATTAGTATTGACATTCACCACTTCATTCTTAATGAACTAGTTGAAACCCTCATCAAATCACCCTTAACAACTTCTCAACAATTTTGAAAGAAAGCCATAGAACATCAACGGAACTTGACTCCAATTCAAGTAACATCATTCTCACTCCCTCTCAGATATTTAGTGCATGCCCATGGGGCTAATAATGTGAAACAACGTTGACCGGCTGTTATAACAAGAGCAAACATTCTCACTAATCCTTAATTGTTTCAACCCCAAAAGGACTGTTGAGCAATCGCCTTTCTTGTAACATGTTCTTCAGCATCTTCATTGCCTTTTCTCTCCCCTTCCCTCGTCAAACCTACTAAAATTTAATAGAAACAGCAGACAATGTTTCTGTTGAATTAGGATCCCAGTTTAATGCTTAAGCTAACTTGCTCATTTGAGAGAAATTGCCATAACGGTGCCAAATGAGAGAGAGAGAGAGAGTCGACAAGTCCTTTAATTCTCTGATATGCTAAGTATACCAACCAAGAATGGATTATCTATCCCTTGATGACTGAAGAAATGACATGATGAGCTCAATAGAAGATTTTTATCAAAAAATTGCTTATTTATCTGTCAAAATTAAACTTATTTATCATTCAACAATTTGTCAAAAACAGAAAACTAAACATAGAGGAACATCTTTTTTTTCGGTGTGGACAGGGGTCTTGTTACAATTTTGAATATCAAAGGATCACTGTGCCAATTTGAAACGACAAAGTTGTAAACAAATAATCAATGCAAGCTCCAGGGGAAGACATCGTAATTTACCTTCTATAAGAGCATACAAAAACCATAAGTAAAAAGTCAGGGAATAAAATCATCTGGTCAACAAGTAAGCATTGACTACCAAACTACAAAATCACAATTTATTTATTTATATTACATCAACCTCTTCAAAAAGTACTGAGGTTCTTCTAGCCATGTACAAAAAATCAGGTAACATTTACCTCAAGAGAGAACCTTTACTTTTTATATTTTGGGCATTGAACATTTGAACTACTCTATGAACTGTCATATTTGAAATATGAGCTACTTCTATTCTTCAGCCATTTGATCCCTCCTAGTTTCATGAAAATAAAGCATCCATACAGGTTGAAGCAGTGCTATAGCATTCTGCAATTTCTGCCTTCCATCCTCACTGCTTTTGAGCTCCTCAGCTTCTCTCTCTATTCGAGGGAAAATCTCTCCCAGAGATGCCAACATCATATTGAGTTCTCCCCATTTTCTATCTTCGTGCCTGACTAACTTTATGCAGACAAAGTGCAAAAGTCCCAGTAACAACTCAAAATCCTTCTTTTCCAACCCAACTATGGATACAGTCAGAAAAATAACCCCAGCTGCATCAAGTACATTACGGTCTGCTCTCAACAGCTGAACTAACATTCCCATGAATTTTCTGAATGCGCGAAATTCTTTGTGTTTAGAAACTCTATCGGCCTCCTCATCTGAGCCAGTGTCACTTAGTTCACAGAGTTCAAGCTTGGCTAAAATAGATGGCCATGATGGAAAACTGGCTCTGCCGAGATCAGACATAATGGAACATGTGCTCTCTCCTGGAGTCTGTTTCAGTAGGTGGCTGGATGTCAATGCCAGAATCAAATCAGGCATCCATGGCTTAGCTGTACTAACAAGACGTGCTGCAAATCCAGAGCCCAAGAGTTCTTCAACTAGAATAATTAGATCAAACAGACAGTTCACAAGATTGTAAGCTTCTCGTGAAGCTGGGGAAGCTTGGCAGGAACTTTTAAGGACTAGATTTAGTAACTTGGCAGCGTATGTGAAGGAGCTCTTCAGACAGATAAATGTATCTTTGAAATCTTCCTCCTTAAAGTGCAACTGGTCATGGAAATATTGCTTCACATGCAAGATGATGAATTCTATGTATTCCAGTGCAAACTTCAAGCACCTTTCTTGAGTGTGAGAAACAAGATCCATTGAAGTGGTATCAACAATAAACTTGAGGACTGTAGTTAGCATCTTCACCATATTCAATGCCCTTTTTTGTTTTGTAAAACTGGATTCTACAAGAAATATAAACTCAAATTAGCCACAAGAATTATGTAAGGGAAAAATAACAAGTTACAAGACTATGAAACAGGAGCTTTAAGTATATAAACGCAAAGCAATGGGAATGTGACCATGGTTGAAATTATGCAATGTATGGTGCACATGCAATTTCTCATGAACAGACATCCCTAAAGACGCAAACTTGGATGGAGGACAACAGAAAAGATGCCCAACGCACTTAAACCTATAAAAGTCGTGATCAGTTTAAATTATGGGAACAAGATGGAGAGTTAAAATATCACAAATGTGCAACTCCAATACAATAACCATCTGAGTGATCTCTAACGTAAATTGAATTTTTCTGGTCCAGTTACTTCCTCGTCAGTTCTTTAGATTTGAGTGATACTTGAACTACAAAGGTTAACTACTTGGAAATAGAGTCATGCTGGAAATAAGGTTCCGCAGGTGGTTCACATCCCTCCAAGTGCAAAACAAGATGCGAACAAAGTTACATTATACAAACAATTCAAAATCACCAACTATATACACTATAAGAATCTTCATAAAGTTTTTATTTGATGGTGGGAACCTCAGCACCAACATTAGCTGTGCAGAAATGAGTCTCCCAGCTTGACATGGGGCTTGCCTAAGGCGAGGTCAAGCCATTTATTCAGTAAAATATGTGTACTGTTATCTGTAGATTTGGTTCCTCTCCACAACCACTTACCACTGTCACTAGGGCTAGAGGCACCACTTTGAGGTTCCCTGTGCTTTTGTCCACCACGATGGGCTAACCCGTTGATGTCCCTAGCACGTGAAAGCATGTTGCCAGACATTTTGCAATCAGCTGCTCCTAATAGCTTATTGGTACAGTCAAGTAGATGATCCATTGTCTGATCCAACAATGTTCGCTGAAAATTGTAAATGAAAAAGAATTCCAAATACATATCAGCAACAATATATTTTTCTGATCCAAACTAGAAACAAAAGTCAAAGCAAAAATTGCTTTAAAAAAAGGTGTGGTCTGTCCCCTTTGCCAAAGATGAGATGTTACCTTACTGTTTATATTTGAAAGATTTAAGCTCAACAATTGATATTAAATAGGGAAACAGAAATTGAATAAACCATTATAGAGCCAATAATAATAACTAGATTTATAGAATCTTTACACCATCTTGTCACTAAACTTACACCACCCTCAAAGAGAAATATACTGCTGAGATAACAATTGATGAATTATGTAGTCTTCAACATTCATCAACTCAGTCATGCTCCAATGAAAAGGGTGCCACAGCCCAGTATGTACTAAGTTACCACCACTGCATGCAATATCCAAAATGCTTGGTAGTAAGGAACCAGCATTGGTGTCCATCTAAACACCTTTCCTTAAGTGAATTAGTTAATTTGCATATTTAATTCATAACTGATAGATGCAATGATAGGGTGTGATGCGACAACCAAGTCATAATGTCTAGGTTTTCAAATAATAATGATATATAAAAAGCACTTTAATATATTTGTAAACAAGCAAATCACCAAATAGTACTGAAAGCAACAAAGAATGTGGATGACAAACATGTAAAAAGTTTGTGTGCATGATGCAATGTGAAAAATAAGAGGTTTCTTTAGCATGATGCTTCATCATACATATCAAATATTGATGTGAAAATAGTTGATATATTAACATTGACATTGTTTAAAAGGGTTGCCTAGGCCATGGTAAAACTTAGGCTCATCAAAGCAGTTCCAAAGAGCCTCACTCATGAGGGATGAGGCCCCTTCAATCAGGTTAAGCTAGATGCTCAAGAGAAGCATGCATTCAGTTTATCAATATTTAGTAATATCTTTTTTCTGGCCATTGATTACATCAGTTTGTCAGATGCAATAGATCAATGTACCATCCTACAGATATTTGACATTCTGGTCTCCAGGCATTGTAGTGGAGTTCTAGAAATAGTCGTATTATGCCTGACACTAGATATTAATGAAGGCAAACCATATGCTTAAACATTTTCAACTTTGAAGGCTAGATATGTGACGACATATATAAGCCTGTCAATTGATATGCCAGAAGTTTCCTGTTTTTGTTTCTTGACTATTTTGTATGGCATATTTTGAATTGTTCCACTAGCAATTATATTAAAATTTGATAGTCTTGGATCACGTGGGTTATTTTCCTCTGGCTTACAAATGATGTTGCACCTGACTTCAGCTTCCAGAGTCATTGGTGCCTTGCAAAGTGTTAGAAACAAAATTACACATAAGAAAGTCAAATGAAGGAATCCGGAAATATACGTAAAGAAAAAGAAAATCATATAACAAATGAAACCAAGTATCACATAAGAGTAGTCTACTATGTGTCGCATACGAATAAGGATTTCAGCAGAGAAGATGCTAAATGAAAAAATTACTTGCCTCCAAAGATGATCTTGCAGCATCAGCACAGTCCTTCATACCTCGATTTTTGGTACCATTCAGCCCAACATTTTCAGAAGACATATGCAGGGTAAGGGCTGTGTAAGCCAAAACTGGATATGTGTTCATGTAATCACACTGCATGCACTGCACAATGCTGACCTCTGAAATGATCTTCAAAGCACCAAATGCAGTTCCCAATATTTCACACTCTAACATGGCTTTCCTTGCAACTTCAGAGATAAGAAAGTCCTTTATTTGCCAGGCTATTCCTACAACAAGAGCATAATCCTCTTCAAATTTACTGGCATCTGTACTGGAAGACTTTTTCCCACTGCCAGGTTTTCGTTTAGCTGAAATCCTAACCGAGGGCTTGATTTTCCTCTGTTTTGTAGAGGAGACACTGGGTTTTGGTAGTTCTGTACCAAACTTGGCATGGCATCCGTGTGCAGTTTTTTGCAGAACCATTGTTAAAGCTTCAAACATATCATCAAATAAATCACAAGACAGCATCATCTTATGAACAGACCTTGCTTCGGCTTGTCTTTCTACATTATTATGCAAACCACTACAATTTGTGACCAAGCTCATACACTGTTCAAGAAGACCATCTACAGAATCTGGAGAGATGGCTGAAATAATGTCACATACAGAAGACTGAGCACGCCCAGTTGTCGCAGAATGGAGCAAGCCCTTTAGCTTTTCACTAGACAACTCCTCTTTAAGGGCAGCCTTGTAAGATGCATCGCGAACTAGATTGATGCAAAGATAGGCAGCAGCAACAAGCAAACCATCAATCTGGTCTGCATCGAGCTTAGCAGGTGACAGAGCAAAATTGATTAAAACTTTAAAAAGTTTCTTAAGGGACAACAAAGATGCCCCTTCAGACAAAGCAAACTCACAGAACCTTGCTCCAGCTAATGGAGACCTTATAATAAGTGTGACACAACGATTACATGCTTCTTCCGGAGTCACTTTTGAAGGAAAGTACGATGGTATAAGAAGTTTAGTGACTTTCTGAGCAACAAGCGGTTGATCATTTGAGAGGATGGACAGTAATATGTCCAAACTTACCACCTGCAGATAAAACAGACATTGATCAACTAACAGAAAGAGGGCCATTAACAATGCTACTGATGATATTAATATATGATTCAAATTTGCAACAGTGTTGTGTACCTTATGAAACTGGAAAGTTCGTATATCCCTTATAAGAAGAAGGAGATCTACAACAGCAGCACGTATGGAAAGGGTAGAGTCCAGAAGCAAATGCCCCAATCTGGGTAGGACCACTATAAGGATCTCATGAGATTGAGGATTCCCAAGTAAATACATAATGCCATTTACTGTGGAAAGTCTGACCTCATTGCATGCATCATGGGTCATATCATCAAGAATTTTGGTGATTATCTTTGTAATGGTTGAAGAAGGAATAATTTCCCAAAACATATGAAGTATACGACAAGAACCTTCTACTGCTGCGACTCTTATATCAGGGCATTCATCTGTATGTAATCTCTCCACTAGGAAGAACTGCTTTTCTAGCAATATATCTTTAACCTCCTTTGTGGCATCAGGATCTTCAAGAGGAAACAGGTCCAGAAGTAAGTGCAATGCATTTTGACGGACATTTGAGTTTGCAACCTGCCCAAAAATTATGAACAGCATCAGAAATTATCTTAATTATATTGATTTGTAACAATTATAAATTAGTTTAATATAAAAGAATGATCTAGCACTCACAAGAGTTACTAAATTTCTGTTTTAAAGCCTTACTAAATCAATTACAAAAAGGTCATGGGATAGGGGAGGGGGTATCTGCATAGAACCAAACAGATCCCACAGAAATATCCAGAGAAAAAAAAATATCCAAGCAATTTACATTTCACAATACACATTTTGGAACATTGAGCACTTTTTGTTCCAATAGACCGAATGACAATCCAGAATTTGTCCAATACGTATAAAGCTACTGGATAATTGAGAATGTGGTGTATCACATTCCTTTTCCGGATCCACACACCAAAATGAGCTGCATTACCAGTGAAATTGGACCAATGGCACGCTCCATTTCAAGTATGAACAAAGAAACCTAATCATACAAGTATTCCTAGAAAAAAAACACACATATGAGCATAAGTAGATGACCAACCAATGAAAAAAAACATTGAAAAACACTACCTACAGGGAATAAATCGACCAATTGGGTGTACAATGTTGCACCCATCCAAAATATTCCAATCCTAAAAAACGCAAGCAATCTTATGATGAAATGGGTCAGGGTCATCAGGAGACATCTTCACTGCTCCTAATTTAGTAATTTCATGCTACTCATTTGTTAAGTTCAACAGACTCTGAGGCATTTCCTCCAACAAGATCCCATTTCTATGAATCAGCCTAAGTGGCTACAAGTTCAACAATTACCAAAAACTCAAAGCTTCCTTGAGTAATTTGATCATGTAGTAATTTTCAAGCTACCCCATCCCGAAACTAGTTCTACGAATTAACCTATGGTCTTCAAAAGAAACAAACCTAATAAGATAGCACACTTACCTGTAGTGACCTAAAAATCACAGGCTCAGCAAGCCGAAAAAGAAGTTTCTCAATGCCATCCGTGGTCCTATGAGTAATAAACCCCCCCAAAACCCTCCTGATTGAGGCAGCAAATGACCCCGAACTAGCATATATAGCACTCTCAACCAATTCCTGCAAAAAACCCTTCTCAATCTCATCTTTGGACTTTCCTTCCACAACCTTCCAAACCCTAAAAACAATGTCGGCATATGCCTCAAGTATAGACTTTTTCCCAAATGGAATCTGAGAACGAATCATCGCCAGTGCCTCCTTCACAAGCTGCCCACTCAACCCAAACATAAACGCAATAAATTTCCTTCCATCCTCAGTCTTCAAGTACAACGGCGAAATCACACAACGTATAAGCAAAAGCTTCAAGTCTTCAATACTCTCATCCTCGAAATCAAACAACGTGAAAGCCTCCCGAAGCAGATACACTCTATGGACATCCACTTTCTTCTTCAATGTCAACGACCTCGACACCAAGAACGGCAACGACTGAGAAATTAAGGTCTCCTTTCCTGGTAACTGTTCTTTCCACCACTCTTCACACACATTTGCGATCTCCGACAATAAAACCGAACTCTCCTCGAAAAGAATCAGATTGTCGTGCAATTCGCGAACCGCAGGCAACAAATCCGAAGCCGAAAACACGTTTTTCGGATGGGAAACACACAAAAGGGCGACATAAGCGTAAATCTGAAGATTTTCCAATACAGATTGTTTGGCATTTTCAAGTTTGGCTTCGGGATTTTGAGAACCCGAATCGGTTTCGTCGTTATTGGCGTGGCGTGAAGATCTTCGGAGACGTTTGGTAGGAGCTGATTGAGGGGTAGTGGTGGTGGTTTGTGAATCGGAGATTTGTTTGAATTTAGTGATGGATTGAGAAATTGAGTGGTAGAGAGAGGGAGGGAGGGACGAAGCGAGGTCGGAGGATGGAGTGAGACTGTAAATTAGGGCTTTGAGAGAGGATTTTGAGGATTTGATGAGACCTTTTGTGGCTGATTTGAGGAATTCTTCTGCTGAAGTTTGGAGAGATGGTCGGAGTCTCTTCTCCATTGGACTGAACTGATTCACACACTACTGAGAGGGAAGGAATGAAAGTTTGATATTTGAAAAGTTTGTTTTGGCGCTTGTTTTCCAATCACGATTGAGTAAAGATGTTGTGTGGGTCGCCTCATGGTTTTACCGTGAGCTTGCTTCGCTGGTCAGGTAAGGGTGTCCATGGATTGGGCTACCCACGGATTCTATTATTTGACCCGAAACTCGATAGTTAACCTGCCCGAGTCCAAGCTCAAAATCCTTTAAAAAATGGCTTTAATTTATTCTTAAATCTACTATTCGGCCCGAAGTCCGGCACAATAATCTGCCCACATATCATATATATAATATACATATTTATACTACTAATAAAAATACACTATTTAGAAAAAAATTTAATTGACTATTTTAACCCTAAAACAATATATAAAGACAATACTAGCTTAATTTAATTTAGAACTCAAATTAATAAGACGAGATTGATATTAAACTTTTAATTGGACAACTTGACTCTCACAATACTAGCATTATTAATATGGAATTTATATTGATGAAACTTCATTAATATTACACATAATCAAGCCTTTCATATTATTTCTTTTAAAAGATAAAAATGAATTGTTAAAATAATTAAATTTGTTATTATTTATTTCTATCTATTGTCATTAATTGGCGAAAAATTTTTAAATTTTCAAATAAGATTGCATAAATGCACTAGAGTCTTATTTAATATAAGATTTGTTTCAATATAATTTGGATAATATTATCAAACACTTGTTTTTCATTTTCTTCTCTTTTATGTTTTAGTTTTAATTAATCATATTTAGTTATGTTTATTGGTAATACTACAAGCCATTTTATTTGTATCGATTATCAATGCTATGAATATGTTTAATATTGCATTAAATTACTAATTACAACTTAACTTTTTAAATTTGCTCAACCAATTTTTATAATTAAATGACCACCATAATTTAAAATAATTCGATTCTAACAAGTCCAACAATGCCCGCCTAACAGGTTCAACAATAGCCCTCTCAAACAGGCTTGCAAAACCCGTCCAATAGATGACGGACTAAGTTGCGGGTAACTTACCCTTACTTGAGCCTGGTCTGATCCAGCCCAGCCCGTCACTCGCCTGAGTACAGGCTTGGGCCAAAACTATCCGAGCCGGACTCGAAAAAAAATTTATGGGTCAAGTCCTGCCTGGCCATAGACAACGTAGGTCCAAGGTACATAAAAAGATTGACATCGAGTCAAACCCAACCCACCTGGATAAGTGGAAAAAGAAGAAAAATAAATATTGAATTGATAAAGCATATTCTGTACTGTATTCTTGTCCACCACCATGCCATTAGCGTTCCCGTTACGGACCTTGCTTGAAGTCGACAAAGGTTATCTTTCAAGTTTGATTCATGGAGAATACTATCAAGTTATTTTTAATGGTCTGATGGGCCTAGAAATTTGACTATCATTCAAGTCATCCTTAGGAAGTGCACGTGGATTATTCTTGTCTAGACTCTTTTAGAGGAGTAAATATTGAATGTAACTGTGATATTATATCAGCAATATTGACGTGATATTACTAGCTAATAATAAAATCTCAAGTGGGCAAGATGAATCTCATTTGGATAATTATTTGCTTACATAAAAAAAATGAGTAGTTATTTGCTTACATATTAGGTTAATTATTAATTTTAGTGGGATCTATTTTCTTAGTTGTTTTGATATTATTAGTTGACGATATCATGTCAACATTGTCACATAATATCATTATTGTAATCAATATTTTCTCCCTCTAGAAACTTCCTCAACGAGTAAGGTTTGTTATCGTCACGTCCTGCTAAGTATTCCACATCTGATCACCCATGTACTTTTTACACAAGCCAAAAAAAAAACAACTTCTCATCCAATTTGTGAGTATGGTGGTATTTGATAAAATTAAAAGTTAAACGCTGAAAACTGAATGTTGAATTTTAAGTGTTGAATGCTGAATTTTTTACTTCACAAATTGTTTGGTGCCAACTAAAATTTAAGTTTTGAATTTAATCAAACTGTTTGACAAATATAAGAAGTTGGAGTCTAAAAATTATTATTATTCAAATTTTTCCCTTCTCTTTAATCATCTTTCCGCAACTCCCTTATTTCTATCACCAACATCATAATGGAGGTAATGGTGGTAGTGACAATGATGGTGGTGATAGTGGCGGAGATGGTGGTGGTGATAGTGGCGGAGATGGTGGTGGTAGCAATGGTAGTAGTGGTGACAGTGACACAATAGTGGTCATGTTGGTGGTGGTAATAGTGGCACAATGGTGGTGGTGGCGGTGACGGTCACATAATGGTAGTGGTGGTGAATGCGACACAGTGGTGGTGGTGGCGTCAATGGTAGTGGTGGGTTGTGGTGACGGTGGCACAATGGTAGTCATGGCAACAACAATGGTGGTTGTGAGGGTGGCATAATGGCGGTGGTGATAGTGTTGGTGGTGGTGGTGGTAATAGTGTTGGTGGTGGTGGCAATGATACAATAGTGGTGAGGCTATATTTGTCAATTATGAGAAATTGATAAAATCCTTACTAACTAACATTTTTAGCATTAAGTGATAAGTAGGTGGTTTGTTACTTAAAATTTTAGCTTATTTTTAAGAAATGTTTGAAATATTAAGTAGCATGAGTTTTAGATTATCAAACGAGTTTAATTTATTAAGTGTTTAAAGTATTCAGTTTTAAGCCTTAAGTGATGTTATCAAACAACCCCTATTTATATATATTAATTTTACATTTGCTTAACTGACTTCAACTTAATGTAACTAAATTCTGTTACGGTTGATACATAATATTCATTTTGCTACAGATATGTTACTAAGTTGGACAACACACCTAACTACCTAGTCAACAACTAGTACTTGTTTTCGATACTAAGGTTTTCACAAAAGAGAGCTTTAAGTGAGAAAATATTTAGAGAAGTACATATAATTTGAGAGTTCTCTAATAAAGTAAAATGAGAAAGATTTCGGTCAAAATTATACATTTCAATTTTTTAAATTAATAAGTTAAAACCTTTTTGAAGTGAAAATTTTAAAGTTGACAGTTGGAATCCAACAGTTAAGAATAATCATTTTATCCAAACAATTAAATTTCTTTTTTTTTTGCTGGGTCAGGCGCTATTACACTGAAGGGAAAAGACGATATTCAAACCTCTAACAAATCGAAAACCATGACTCGGGATCTTGCCCATGGAATTATCACATGATGAGCCAGATCAATTTTGGTAAGACTTAACCCCGAGCTAGCAAACACAAAGAGGGATACAACTCTCTTGCTTTCTTCTTATTTTTTTTTTTTTTTGGGGGGGGGGGTGGTTTCCACTGTGACTTCACTAATTGCAGCAACAAACTTTAAATCTTATCATGGTACATGGTATAACATAGTCCTAAGTTTGCTAGACTGGACATACTATGGTCAAGATGAAGCCTAAAGGCATGTGGAAGGGGGTGGAGCCTCTAACACAAATCATATAACCCATGGATATATAACCCTCCTTCTCTTCCAAGAGGAAGAAGGGTTTGGTCCTACAACATCCACAAAGGAGAGCATATAGTACAACTATACTTCTGTTATTGAAAAAAAATAACCTTAACTTGCATTTGAAAACCCTATTCAATGGTGAATGGCTTTTCCTATGGTCTCAGAATGATGCTTATGGTCTTACTCCAAACTTCCAAAAATGACAAAAATTGGTACATAGCTTTAAACATATATCACTTTCAGCCTATGCCCCAGTTGAACTTTTGCCATAAGCAAATAGTTCATGTTGGAACAACTCTGACAACAATGAAGTTGCTTGATGCTAGTGAATGGAACATATCATCATGGTTTGTTCAATGGTCGAACAAGGAACAAAACATTAACTAGAATGTCTTGATATTTATTCCCTTGGCTACATAAAACTCTGGTTCCAACCAATTCCCATGGTTTGCATATATAGGATGCTTCTGAGATTTGGCTTGAAGCCAGGAGTTCAAATGACATGTGGCTAAGACAAATATCCATTACCAAAGCTATAGAAGTTATTCTCAACTCAGTTCTACATTGAAGCTGCTTGCAACCCAACCTTATGACAACTTTGTTGCCTTTTTGTTTCTCCTATTCTATGCAACTCACTTCTGCAACCATCTAACCCAACGTTCAAATATCACTCGCAAGAAAACATGATGATCCACAAAGGACCCTCCCCTTAGATTTTGAAAATGATTTATGGGTTCCAAGACCTTAGACTCATCACATTTTAACAATGAAAGTGAAGATGCCTACTCACTGAAAACAAAAGCACCAACATTCAAACAAATTGGACCACACTCACATTAGCATACTTTTTGATGGCCCAAAAATACAACATATATGTATTGATATCCTCTTTCTTTTGATGGGGGAGGGTTGGGATGCTTCCTATCTTTCATAAGGCTGAAAGTCTGAGAAATGAGTTAAGTATATATATATATATATATATATATATATATATATTGATGGAACACTTCAGAGAGTCAGCCAATAGTCGACACGTGTCCTCGGCATCAGCAACGTGGAGGCACAAAAGACTGACACGCGTCCTCGAAGCATTGTTATTAAGACACGTGTCCTTAGCAAGAAAGATCTCTCGGTCTCATACGTGATGGACACGTGTCCTCGACACCAATGTCCCTTCGGTGTTATCTACAAGTGACACGTGTCCTCGGCACAAAGGGTTCTGTAAAACCCTGCGAACAACACATGCCCTCGACATGATTGACTCTCCTGAGATCTATTTATGGACATGTCACCTTGGCTCCAAGACCCCGAAGCAGAGGTGTCAGAATGACGTCTATCATTACTTAGAGTTAAACTTGGTCAATAATCATTGACTACTCTTCCCAAAGTAGTCAGAATGGCAGAGGGGGCAATGACTATGTTTCACGTAACAAAGAGCACAAAAATAGGGGCCAAAAGACAAAGTTGCCCTACTCGTGCACAGCCATCAC